ACTAGGGAACCAGACTTTACAGATGAGATGATATACTAGAGAACCAGACTTTACAGGTGAGATGGTATACTAGAGAACCAGACTTTACAGGTGAGATGATATACTAGGGAACCAGATTTTACAGGTGAGATGATATACTAGGGAACCAGACTTTACAGATGAGATGATATACTAGAGAACCAGACTTTACAGGTGAGAGGACATATTAGAGAACCAGACTTTTCAGATGAGAGGCATACTTTACAGGTTACTGGACATAATATGACAGATATAGGCTACATGTGACTGGTCACGTGATAGATGTAACTCATAAGTAAATAAACATTCTCTTCCCATCTAGGCGGATCTGGATGAAATGTTGAATGAAGCCAAGCAGTCAGAAGAGAAGGCCAAGAAGGCCATGGTTGACGCTGCACGGTTGGCTGACGAACTGAGGGCTGAACAGGAGCATGCTCAACAGCAAGAGAAAATGAGAAAAGCACTGGAGGCTCAGATGAAGGAATTACAAGTCCGACTAGATGAAGCGGAGGCAGCAGCTCTTAAAGGTGGCAGAAAGATCATCCAGAAACTGGAACAAAAGGTAGAAATTATAGTGGGACATTATATGTAGAAATCAAATAACTTGCAAACATATTGGATATTACCAAGTATCTACGCTTGATAATTTGGACTTAATTTAAAAGTATGAGGATGTTAATATGATTTCTCTATTGGAGAATTACTCTGTGAAATACTTCATATGGTACGGTGTTAAATGAATTGGCTGGAAACTTGGAAGTTCGTAAGGTTTAAATAAAATTCTTGGGAAGATGAAAGTTCTTAAAATGCTTGGTACTAGTGAATTGTTTGGAAACATGAAATATGGTGAAAAGTTTACTGCCAGTAATTTGGTTTGGAACATGAAAGATGGTAGGTTTTGGTATCATTTTTTTTTTAGGTAGTAGATTTTGGTACCGGTTTAGGATTTTTAGATGGTAGATTTTGGTACCAGTTTAGGATTTTTAGGTGGTAGATTTGGGTACCAGTTTAGGAGTTTTAATTTAATCGTGAGTCAATATCATTAGCTAACTATTCAAAATAATTTCATTAATAAAATATATGAAAAATATATATTACATATTTTAACCAATACTGTTTAAACTGTGATTATTATTTTCTAGTAAGCACAAAGATTAACTGCTATATGAAACATTTTTGTTAAAGTTATGATATTACTTTGACGGTTTCTGTTAATATTCACACAATATGGAAATTTTTGTTAAACTTATGATATTACTTTGAAGTTTTCTGTTAATATTCACTCCATATGGACATTTTTGTTAAACTTATGATATTACTTTGAAGTTTTCTGTTAATATTCACTCCATATGGAAATTCTTGTTAAACTTATGATATTACTTTGAAGTTTTCTGTTAATATTTACTCCATATGGACATTTTTGTTAAATTTATGATATTACTTTGAAGTTTTCTGTTAATATTCACTCCATATGGACATTTTTGCTGTAGGTACGTGAGCTAGAGAGTGAATTGGAGAACGAACAACGTCGTCACGCGGACGCCGCGAAGAACTCAAGAAAGGGAGAACGCAGAATTAAAGAATTACAGTTCCAAGCAGATGAAGACCGGAAGAACCACGAACGTATGCAGGACCTTGTTGACAAACTCCAACAGAAGATCAAGACATACAAGAGACAGATCGAGGAAGCTGTAAGATTTTGTGTTTTCTCACAGAAAAAAATAATGTGTATGGCGAAATTACCTGCATGCTATACGTATATATAATGTGTAATATCACTTACTATGATTTTAATATAGAAAATATTGTTACGTATCTACTTGTTTGTTATTTTCAGGTCAAAAATTCTTTCAGAGAAACTTCAGCGATATAAGTCCTTTCTT